GCACATACACGCATGCACGCGTGCGTGCACGTACACGCATGCGCGCACATACACGCGCGCGCGCACGTACACGCATGCGTGTACGTAGGCCCCCCTACACGCATGCGCGCACATACACGCACGCGTTCACGTACACGCATGCGCGCACATACATGCGTGCGTTTTCGTACACACATGCGCGCACATACACGCGTGCGTGCGTGTACACGCATACGCGCGTATACACGCATGCGCGCACGTACACGCGTGCTTACACGTACACGCGTGCGTGCACGTACACCCGTGCGTGCAGATAAACGCGTGTGCGCACTTACACACGCACGTTCACGGGCACGCGTGCGTGCGCGCACATACACGCGTGCGTGCGAGCGTGCGCATTAGGAGCTCGGCTGCACGTGCTTGGACAAACCCAATGCCCTCGTGGCAACACCGGCATCCTGACTCTGTGACTGTGCACGAGTCTTTGCGCCTGTGCGTGCCGTACCTCGGCTTTTATGCCACAGAGAGTCGTGTTAGCTTCCTTGCCTGTCTCGCAGTGTTGTTATTACAATAATCTGTTAGTTCTGTCTGCACGGTAGGGCGGGATTGGCATGATGGAGAGCTCCACTAAAATATCACACCCTTAAGAGGCATGATGGAGAGCTCCACTAAAAATCACACCCTTAAAAGGGATGATGGAGAGCTCCTTGAGGGCTCTCCATCATGCCTCTTGGGGTATGCTGATGGAATAATGACCAATCTTCAGTCTAGAGTGAAATCCAAAACGAAAATTGGGATGTCATGTCAATCCACTGATTATCATTCATCTTCACCTTCATTCATTCAATGGCTTCGTCATGATTACATTCTTTTCATCCAACAACCCAACACTAGCACACAGATTAATAAAAGAGTTGATCAGATGTAAAGATAAACTTGTTTTATTTATTCTGATCTTCATCCTTAGACACTCTAATCCATGTACCTGCATATTTCAGCACGAAATATCATCACAATCCATCAACAAACTAGCCAAATTACTTGTATGTAGTAGCCACGTATGTAGCCCCTCCAGCCCTACAACTGTTTCACGTCGGCAGAAAACCACTTCTCGCCACGTATAGTGGAAAACGAGCAGGTAACTTGTGGCTACCGTGTAGCTACCTATATTTGGATGCTGTTGTCTAGTTGTATAAACCAGAGGGTAGTAACCTGTACCTCTGCCGTACGTTCAGTTACTTACACACCACAAATTGTTGTGTGTCGCTAACCTTTTTGTACCCCGCTACATTGACAAATCTATGGAGTGCTATTTCAACATAATACACAGACTTTAATACTTTTGGTGCGCGATTTCAACCACTTTTATGAGGCGCGATGATGCACGAACCATGGCACAATTTCGGGTGCGCGGTGGAGCGCGAGCGCGATCGCGCCCCTTAAAAATGAAAGCCTGCAACATCACCGTCGCAGTATCAACATGCCAATACCATTTTTATATACCAATTCCCCAAAACGCTGCCAATACGCCATTATACGGTAGCTGTAAGTTACAAACACGTTCAGTAAGTTCTGTGGTCGTCCGGAACACGTCAAATACGTCTACATACGTCAATATGCGTTGGGGATAAGTTTGATATAAGTTGCACATAGGTTCAAACTTCAAAGCACGTTGCTCATAGGTTAGAAATAAGTTTTGGGTACACTAGACATTATCTCGATGTATTTCGACTTATGAGTAACTTACAAGTAACGTGTGTGAACGTGTGTCAAGGATCGCATAACTTACCTACAACTTATGGCCCACGTATGCAGGACGTATGGGCATACGCTGGCATACGTCGAAAATTTTTGTGCATGACGACCTCACCGTACTACGACGTATACCAGCGTGCTTCAGCGTGCTCTTAACTTATATATGTGGCGAGCTTGTATTGCCGCCAAAATTGTTACAGCAAAACAATCAAGACTACTGATTGACTGGTACGTGTTGTTATTTGTCAGTGCGTGAAATTTTCGATTTTGAAATTCTGGTAATCAACCAGTCGGTTCAATAACGACTCTGAATATAAATATGTAGGCTTTCTGACATATCAGGCACACCGGCATATTGGATGCAGACTAAATTTAGCATGAAATCTGTTGTAAAAATAACATTGAGGGAAATTTTTTAGAGCCTGCCCAGGTCTATGCTGAAGCAGCTGCTGCTGACCCCAGGCCATGTTTCTTGCATGTTGTATGTACACATGATTTATGTAGGTATTTTGTATTTACACATGCTACATGCTGTAGTTATTCGTTTCTGGTACACAGCCTTGGACTTCTGGACATATTTATATCTCCATCGTCAACTTTCAAACCTTACACACGCTTTGCCTAATTAAAAATAATAGTGACATGCAAGATATTGCGTACCTTTTTTCGAAAAATAACGAAATAAACGTCCTCCGTCTCTAGCCTGTGGCTGACAAGTTGTTTAGTGCAACATTGTCCAGGGATGCATATATGCATCCCTGGACAATGTTGCACTAAACAACTTGTCAGCCACAGGCTAGAGACGGAGGACGTTTATTTCGTTATTTTTCGAAAAAAGGTACGCAATATCTTGCATGTCACTATTATTTTTAATTAGGCAAAGCGTGTGTAAGGTTTGAAAGTTGACGATATATGTAGTGGTGCCACTGGCGATGCAATGAAGCGATTATCAGCAGATTTAAAATTTGTTTCAAAAAAATTAATTAAATTATATTTTACCACAAATTTTTTAATGTGGTGCAATTTATTGTAATTGAAAATATGAATTCAACGTAGAGCATTGCACACTACAATGTTTTTAGCTCATCTGACGTAGTCAGATGCAGCTTGTAGAATCGTATGATCGTCCGTGCGTCCATGCGTGTGTGCGTCCGTGTGTCCGTCAACAGTTGGGCACAAATCTTAACCGCTCGACGTACGGTCACGATATTCGGGACGTGGGGGGGTAATTCGAAAACGAGTTGGGATGTCGAAGCTGGGGGTCAAAGGTCAAAGGTCAAGAGGTGTAAAAGAAGGGGGAACATTCCTTCCTTAACTTAAGGTATAGGGAGGAAATGCAGAATTGCGGCACAAATCTAAACGGCTCGACCTAGGCTCGTGATAGTCGGTGTATAGCATCATGGTAGGAAAAGCCATCACTGTGCCGAAATTGGAGGTCACAGGTCAAAGGTCAATGGGGCACAGGGCAGATTTTACACATTTTCTGAGGACATGGTCTGACGGAGCAATTGAAAACCTTTTTTGCTTCAGCGGTGACCTAGCATTTTTATGGCTTTATTGAAAGGACCATGAAATGTACTTTCTGCTGACATGCGAAGAGTAAGTGTCGGATAACCTTTTGACCCTCAAGAGGAGGGTTAAACATGGATTTGTTTACTGTTAGAAAGAATTTGACTGCCGGGTTTGCTAGTAGAATCTATGCATGCCTGGATGTATGAGGCTACAATGTCACAGTGAAATTTCAAAAGCTAAATTTGGTTGAAGAAGGTTTATGCTCCTTAAATCGTATAATTTCTATGGCATTCTGTACTGTCGGTGTGTTACATGTAACTTAAATGCCACTGCCAGTGGCAACTGCCAGTGCATGTAGTGGTGATAATACTGTGTAGTTTTTTCCTGCGTTAATTAGTTACAGGTGGCAGCTCTCTATTTGAGCCTGTAGGCTTGCGTAGGTAAATGGATGAGTGCTTACCTATTCTGTCTTGCAAATAGTTGTTGCTACTACGTACGATGGGAGCTTCCATCTTTAATCTTAAGACACTTAAACGTATGTGCCATCTCGTGGCAACTTTCATAACGATCGCAACGAACATTCCTTTGAGAAGGTTCCTGATACCATCCCTGTGCCTTCCACTGTTTCGGCGCGTATGTGAACACATTTGGGACTAACAAGGTTTACTAGAATCCCACCACTCCACCACAGAGTCACCGCAGTAGACGTTAGATGAGCGCTGTCGCTCCGCGGCACTTGTTATTAATTCATAATACAGTTTATATTCAGGATATATAGAGTAATAGTCAAATCAGTATTGTAAGGTCACATGGAGGCACAAGAGTGGAAACGTACGCACGCAGACATAAACACAGGAGTGAGCATGTATGCATACACATCAAGAGTACATAATAGAGAAGAGTATGACACTGTTTTAACAGCGTTTTGCATAGTTTCCAACTTGTAAATATTCTATCAATATATGTGAATAAATATATTTAAACTTTAACTTGTTTTCGTCTATGATTCTCCCTTAATCATATGACACCACCAATTTTCCTGAAAATCGTATGTGTTCTTCAAAAAAGTTCTTTGAATACGACACGGTTTCACACAGTTTTCCCAAACTTTTGCATCTTCGTGGCCAAACTTGATATAGCGGCGGCAGCACCAGGTTGTAACTACGGGACGCTGGGGGCTGTTGGGGATATTAGATAAGCACAGTAACAGCACTTGTTTCGCTTTCTTATCATCAGGAACACGATGGCAACACAGCTCAAATCCGCTGCTAGCTCGCCGTGAGCACACATTTATTTTTAGCACGCTGGAAACGCAATACACACTAAATACAATTCGATGCCTAATATCCCCAGCAGCCCCCAGCGTCCCGTCAGAGACAATAGAACACTAATCCGATAACAAAGTTTGGCCGCGGAGATGCAAAAGTTTGGGAAAACTGTGTGAAACCATGTCGTATTCAAAGAACTTTTTTGAAGAACACATACGATTTTCAGGTAAATTGCTGGTGTCATATGATTAAGGGAGAATCATAGACGAAAACAAGGTAAAGTTTGAATATATTTATTCACATATTGATAGAATATTTACAAGTTGAAAACTATGCAAAATGCTGTTAAAACAGTGTCATACTCTTCTCTATTATGTACTCTTGATACACATTCATACTGTTGTTGTATCGTGTGTAAGCTTTTAATCATGATTGTATTACATGTACTCTTACATGGGTCTACATTTCCATTTTACACTTTTTCAGGGAGACTCAATTAGTTACTTTCTTGATGAATTAGAAAGAATAGGAAAGTCCGTAAGTATTAAATTTAATATTTTTAATTCCGTGTGATGTAGTAATGTATAACATTGCCTATTCCATTCATCCATAATAAATACTGCTTTAAATTAGCAAATGAATTAGTATATAATATTGATTACTATTCCAGGTAGAAATGGTTTCATTTCATTAGAGGTAATTAATCAGTTAATATAAAACACGTATTAAAAATAACATAACCTGGCTATTTATACCCATGCCATGTGTCAATGTGCCTGCAATAAGAGAAATAGCAAGTGACATGGTTGCCCTCTGTACTTTCTGTAATGCTTGCAAAATTTGGCTGAGATCTGCAGCAGTAAATTGGCTTGGGTGCCCTTCTTGGTTTGCTTGATGCAATTTCCCTAAATTCTACATGATGTACGTTTTCCATATTCTTTTACGAAAGGTGTCAGTTTTTCAAATTAAACTCCACCCAACACTTACTTTGCCATTAAACTGCCAGAAATTTTATCTGGCAGTTGATAGGGAATTATATAGCAGCATATCTATATAACGTTTTACTGGTTGCTTTTAGAACTATATGCCAACAAAGCAAGACATCCTGCATGCACGAAAGGCTACAAAAGGAGTAACGGAATATGTGATAAATATCAAGGGGATTCCATTCAGATTTGTGGACGTCGGTGGTCAAAGGTCACAGAGGCAAAAGTGGTTTCAGTGCTTTGAATCAGTGACATCGATCCTTTTTCTAGTGGCTTCCAGTGAATTCGACCAAGTGCTGTTGGAAGACCGTGTCACCAATCGTCTAATTGAATCGCGCAACATATTCGAAACAATCGTCAATAATAAGTGCTTCACGAATGTGTCAGTGATTTTGTTTTTAAACAAGCAAGATTTGCTAGAGTCGAAAGTACAGAAAGTTGCGATATCAGACTACTATCCTGAATTTGAAGGCGATCCTCATAATTTAAGAGACGTTCAGGTGTTCATTAGGAATATGTTCGACTCCGCACGTCGTGAGAGAAATAAACCACTCTTCCACTATTTCACGACGGCTGTTGACACTGAAAATATCAAGTTTGTGTTTCAAGCCGTCAAAGACACGATCTTACAAGACAATCTGAAAGCACTCATGCTGCAATAGCCTCTTGACTGTGTTGTGAGAGAAACTCAAGGCTGCCTTATAAACACTTTGTGTTAAAGACGAATGTACCATTCATGTAACATAGCAACTCTACCCAGTGATTTCTGGAGCTTACACACTCCTATAATGTTGCTCATCTGTAGGTAAATACCTTTTTTCTAAAGGCAGCTTTTGGATGTATAGGTGATATCTAGCTATTTACCACCCCACATCTATACCTAGCACCATATACTGCAAATCTAACAAGCAAAATACATTAAGATTACAAGATTCAGACCTTCGCTATTCATTGACACCTAGTATTTTGGTATTAGTGTATCCTCACCTGCCTATACACCATGTGACCCCGTTATACACTATCCATATGTTGTACACACCATGTACTGCTTCTTTCTAGTGTTATTATTCTGTTTCTTGAGTTGTGCTCATTGGCGGCTGTGCCAGCATGAGTTGTTGGCCAGTTTCTTGGTATGTAAAAAAGTCAACCAAGTTATCATCCAAAGATAATCAAGTATTGAATTTTAACTTCTTCTCCAAATAGCCATCTATTATGAACAAGTGTGGACACTGTTGTCGAATTTTATCGAAATGTTTTTTATGGAAAATCACTTGTATTTTTTGACAATAGGTAAAATGATGATTTTATAAATAAAATGTGGAGAAATAGTTTTTAGTCTCATGTATCAAGCTGTAGATCTGAACTGTGCTTGAGGAGGTGTTGCTCCTGTACACTCAGTCTTTAGAAGAAACCGTTAGTTGGATTATCAGATACGTTAGTTTATCGCTTTCCGTGAGAAGAGAAAAGACTTTTATCATTTCATTAACCATGTGTTCAGAATTTGAATGCAAATTCCTGATTGACAGTTGACTTGATATATTTGTCACATTGTGTGTGACAATGTTTAGCGACAATACAGTTTACGTTAAGGGATGTAGGAATCAAACCTATACACCTAGGCATATACATCCTGTGTGTACGTTATCGTGCATACTGACTTGGATAACAATAGATTTACCCATGGTCATTATTCTACCTGAGCTTCAACAGCTTTCTAAACTTTACAGAGTGGCTACGTGTACGAGTACTGTCTGACTCAGCTCACGGGCAACAGGTATGGTCAAGCATTTCACATGAGATCATGCGACAATCCTTGTGTACGTATGGCCTGCGCACCGAAAAATGGCATGAAATGTTGGTTAAGTTAAGTACTCTGTAGTGTTTTTACATAGTATACGGGTAGGGAAGCCGTGTTACGACACCTGAAGTCTTATTTGTGTGGCATCTTCCTTACACATGCGCCTCAGCGTTCAGTTCTTATGTGGCACATAAGGTTCTTATATGTATAAGAAAGGATTTCTAGTGGCATCAATGACTGAGCAGTTACTGGTGTTTCCTGTTACCTAGGCAAGCCGGGTTTAAACCTCAGACATATTTGCTTTACTTTTTTACTAGTGTATTTTACATGTTTATATTATAATTAACGCAAGGTATTCCTATATTTGAGGACAGATATATACATGTAGATTTTCCACTTTGCATTGGTATTTTAATTAAGAGAATTCAGATAAAAAATAAATCAAAATAATAAAATTAATAATATACTTCAAGTTCTACATATAGCTGTCCATTAGAAAGTGTAGAGACAGAGTACGAGTCTGAGTTCATTTATTCCTGTATGTATCATGAGATCGTGTATGAAATGCATGAGATGCATAGCCTGCGAGCTGAGGTGTACCGTAACTGTACTCATAGCCACGGCCAAACTTTTATGTATTCAGTGTAGTACCCGGTATGGTTTATCCCAGGGTAGGTTGTTTGCATCAAAGGAAATACAAAGATTTGAGTGAGCATATTTTGGCAAATTTCAATGTCTTTCCTGATAAATCATGTATAATGTAGCTCTGTGTCCCTGGTTTGCACATTCCTGGACCCGATTGCACTAAGGAAATAGTCATGTACGCAGTCATTATTGTGCATGCCTGTGTAGTTACATAATATATGAGTTATGGTTGTAATGCTAGATTTTGCTAGCTAATGCTTGTTGTGTAAATGAAATTTTGTTACGTGTATAAGAATAAAATAAGTTTTTAAGATATATAAATAAAGTTAATGTCTTTACAGAATAACTTGATACGATTGTAAACTACAATATATTATTTTAATTACTGTCGGGTCTAAAAAAGATGGTTAGTACGGTACTTCCTGTGATTCTAGTATTTCACGATACATTATTTATCATTGAAATACACGTACGGAGTTCGCGAAATACAAGACTGCGAGGAGGACCAGACTATGGGACATCTCCTGGAATGCCCCCTATTACCGGAGCCCTGTAGACCTGGAGACCTTGAGGTTTTCAACCACCCATGCAAGGCCCTGTGTGCTGCAGTGGCTAGGTCGAGTGTAGTGTAGTGACCCGAGAAAAGAGATATTGAAATTCATGCACACACTGTCGTAGTCCTTTTAATGGTAGAACATTTCAGAAATGTTAAGCTCAATATTATGGGATGTCGAGCGCTAAGGAACCTACACTAGTGGAATTTAGCTGGTCGTTATGATATTAATAATTATTATAAAAGAAGCCCAAAAGACAGCCATGTTGGCAGAGGTTAAAACATTGAATGACACACATCTAAATGTAGATACCAAAGTATCAAATTACAGTAACAGACGCTCAGGTTATTCAATTTAGTAAACCTAAATAGCAAAATTAAATCTTTTTCTAGCCGGCTACTACGATCCACACCCACACGGCCACAGTGTAACTGTAAGTTGTAGGTGAGTAAGTGAGTTGTCTGTTGATCAAATTCAACTTGAACTTTGCCTCTCTCCGTCTTCGACTTAGTCCAAGAGTAGTCTTTATGAGGTTATGATGTTGAAATTGTAAAATAGTGATGAAAAATGATAGCGAAAAGAATAAAGACTAACTTCAACAAGTAAGGCTGTGTAGCAGACGAAAATGAAGATAGAACAACTGAACACTGAACACTGACTGAAGAATTAACAGCCAAGGTGGCGTTTTACACAAACTGGTCGTCATATTAAAAATTATTATATTTATAATATAATTAATAATATTTCATAATATATAATATTAATAAACAATTTACCACCATAAACACATATAGGGCTAGTTTCGATATTGCCTAAAACCAGTACGTGTAGCCTGTTTCTTTATCCATTAGTAACAAATGTAAATAATGGTCTGCGTATGTAACACCTGGTGCACTGTATTGGCCAATAACCAACACCAAAATATAAAAGAATTATTCGGTCTACTGGTGCACGTAACACGTGGTCCTGAATACGAACGAGGTCATACTACAAATATGCTTAAATGGACATAATTTTAGCTTAAATGGACCTAAAAATTGCTTAAATGGACCTAAATATGCTGATTTAGCTAAATAGGTGCTGATTCAAGCAGAATAAGTGCTTATTGATGCAAAACAACTGCTGATTGATACAAACAACATGTTCAAATAGCTTATATCAGCAGAATAAACGCCCATTCACGCTAAACAAATGTCCATTTCAGCAAATATGTCTCCCTCTTGCTGATATCAGCACTAACAAAGGTCCATTTCAGCATAATTGTCTCCCTTTTGCTGATATCAGTGCTAAGAAAAGTCCATTTCAGCATAAATGTCTACCTTTTGCTGATATCAGCGCTAAGAAGGGACATATCAGCAGTTATATGCTAATTAGGCAAACATTTTTAACATTTTGCACACGGCACGCACTCCACGCAGGCCGGAGGAAGTTTAGAGTAGTACAGAGGCGTTTTTATCTAAGCGAAATCGGTAAATCGGTTTCCTAAATCACGTGATCAGCGGTTTGGTGAAAGCGCTTTTGTTACATAAAAACAATGCAAGATGGCAGACCAGCAAAATGATTTGCAGAAGAAATTTATATTTTTCGTTTTCGACTAACTTATTATTCTTATATAATCATTTATTAAGAAAACTACTTAATAACTTACGTTTGACTATCTGCCATATTGAATGTTGAAATCGTCTGAAATCGCTCGCTGGGCGATTTCGACGGTTTCGCAAAGCACTTTCGCAAGCCGTCTAGATAAAAACGAGAAACGACCAAAGCGCTTTTACGAAACCGTCTAGATAAATGCCCGGTAAATGGAAGATTTGCGAAACCGTAAAGCGCTTTTGCTTAGATAAAAACGCCTCCAGTAGGTGGAGTAGGGAGAAGCTAGTGAAGAATGAGGAAGGGGAGTAGGGAGAAGTTGGTGGTGGAGAAGGACAGAAGGAGGAGGGGGAGAAGCTAGTGGAGAATGACGAAGGGGTGAAGGGAGAAGCTGGTGGAGAAGATGGAGGGGGAGAAGCTGGTGGAGAAGAGAGAAGGTGGTGGAGAAGGAGGCGGGGAGAAGCTGGTGGAGAAGGAGGAGGGGAGAAGCTGGTGGAGAAGGAGGAGGGGTAGAAGCTGGTGGAGGATGAGGAAGGGGAGAAGGGAGAAGCTGGTGGAGAAGGAGGAAGGGGAGAAGGGAGAAGGTGGTGGAGAAGGAGGAATTAGGGGAGAAAGGAGAAGCTGGTGGAGAAGGAGGAGGGGAGAAGCTGGTGGAGAAGGAGGAGGGGGAGAAGCTGGTGGAGAATGAGGAAGGGGAGAAGGGAGAAGGTGGTGGAGAAGGAGGAGGGGGAGAAGGGAGAAGGTGGTGGAGAAGGAGGAATTAGGGGAGAAGGTGGTGGAGAATGAGGAAGGGGAGAAGGGAGAAGCTGGTGGAGAAGGAGGAAGGGGAGAAGGGAGAAGGTGGTGGAGAAGAAGGAATTAGGGGAGAAAGGAGAAGCTGGTGGAGAAGGAGGAGGGGGAGAAGCTGGTGGAGAAGGAGGAAGGGGAGAAGGGAGAAGGTGGTGGAGAAGGAGGAGGGGGAGAAGGGAGAAGGTGGTGGAAGAGGAGGAGAAGCTGGTAGAGAAGGAGGAGGGGGAGAAGCTGGTGGAGAATGAGGAAGGGGAGAAGGGAGAAGCTGGTGGAGAAGGAGGAAGGGGAGAAGGGAGAAGGTGGTTGAGAAGGAGGAATTAGGGGAGAAAGGAGAAGCTGGTGGAGAAGGAAG